AACACCATGTTGTAGTTCTTTCCTTCGCACATATATGTACATTAACATGCCCTTTCTTGCGAGTGGCAAAAGAGGGATGCACACGCATACGTCTAGTATGAAAGCAGGGTGAGTTTTTTAGGGGGGGGGGGAAGAGGCGGCGTTTCAAGACTGACAACCTTTGTTCTACAAAACCGACTGTGGGGACGCTACTAACCCAGCCAATCCTCTTTGTCAACAGTATAGCGCAGAAACTTTGTTCTTTTTTTCTTCCCGTGCTGTTATTCTTATCCCTTCAGCGCGGGTGTGGAGGTCGGGAAGGCGTATGACGAGAAAAAACAACAGCACAATGCCTGCCTGCCAAAGAAAAAGCAACTCTCTGCGGGAGCGTGTCAAAACAGCCCTACGTACCATAACATCGCATAGCCATGTGTGCAAGAAACCCCGTATACACCGTATAAATAACCTTCTTATTTAATTTTTTTGCCTTCACAACACGTCAACAAGGTTAAGATTTATTGCGAATACGAGGACCCTGTTTTTGTAGTTTTTTCTACTTCTCTTTCTGTCCTGTCAAGATGCCACATTCTTACGTGCGACAGCTGGGCAATCATGTTCGCGTCCGCATTCGGGCATTCCAGTCCGCACATGTACACCACCATTGTTTAGATTGAAACGTGCTAGCAACAAAGGTATCCACGTAGAGTTTGACCGTGCACCCCTTATTCCCTAGATGCGGAGATCGACTGGGTTACTCCGGGTAGGATCGCCTAGGTTAACAGTTTATTTGTGTTTTCTTTCACAAAAAGGATGCGTGCGAAACGGATATGATACTGACTCGTGGTATTGCAGCAAAGCCTAGATCTTTCATGGGACTAATACCCAAGGATAAGGTACGCTTGCTGAATCTGAAAAGTACGGTGTGGAAGGGTCTCGTGTAGCAAGAAGCGATCACTATAGGCACCAAAGAGTTGTTTGCAGATGGTAGATCTTTGTACTGAATAGGTATTATGTATCTTGTATTGGTAGTGTTCAGATTTCAATTCTTGAAACACTAGGCATAAGAGCCTCTATAGCTTTTGTCTTGGTCGTCTTCCAGTGTTCCCGCCATGACTAATAAAAATAGGTACTACAATAAAAAAAATCTTTACTTGGGTCTGCTCGACAGTCCATATGCTGGAGCCCTAATAAGGGATAAACTGAGGAAACGCTGAAAGCTCGATCAAGCCCTCGGGCGAGAGCTCGCAAAACAGAGAAAGCATTGGAGAAATGAATACAGGGAATTGGGGGAATCGTATCATACAAGCATAGAAAAACGTGAAATTTTTGACCAAGTACTGCATCACTTCAACAACCGTAGTATCGATTCGTGACTAGATGCAGCTCTTTATCGGTCGGGAGAATACTGAAGGTTGACTCTCCGAGAGCCGTTGATGCTAGTTCGGGGAGAGGTGTTCAATACAAAATCGGGAATCGGAGGCGTAATTGCGCGGCTTGGAGGTGAAGGGCTCCTTGACTTGGACCCTGTACTTCCTGGACGATCGTGGGTAAAGCTCCTGGTATGGTGAAGACTATTGATCGTGTTCGTCTGGCTCAATTGGCTACTCGATCTCATCCGGTTGAATGATCGCGGAGGGCATGCGATCGCCTGATTCGAATAAGGGCTAGCCATGATGCTAGTGCCTGGCGTAGCAGCTGGAGGTGGTAGCCCTGATGGACTTTCCGACCTAAACAGTGGATGGATATGAGCTTCACTGACGGCAGGGCTAGGTGGCCGAGAGACGTCTGGCATCATCCTGGGAGGCGGGCACAATTCTTCGTCATCTTCCTCAGGAAGCTCGGAAAGAAAAGAACCGTCCAGAGCCCGTGCAAGTGAGTTTGGTCGGCTTCCAGGAATGGGCTCCAACGTCGTGCCCTTGTATGGCATCGTTTGCTGGAGGACAACGTCGCGTGTTGGAATAATTACACCGCTAGTATCCCAGCTATCGAATCCATCCGAGTGTGAGATGGTATCCGAAGATTGCCGATTTGAGTAAATGCTAGGGGCCCCATCTCGGCTAAATGATCGCTGGCTGATCAAAGTCGTGCGTGATGTAACGGGTCGCACTACATGACGAAGCGATTCTCGGAATGACTTAAGTGATTTTGACGACTGAATAGACAGAGTAGGCGAGGGCAGTGATCCCATAGCCTCCGGACGGTGGTGGGCAGCCAGTGGCGATGATGGCTCAACAGCTTTGCCCAAGAACAAGTCGCTAGGGCGGTGTGTTCGCAGCTCACTTATGACGGAGTCTCGGGGGCCGGACGTAACGACAGTTTGAACTTTTTGAGCCTTACGATTCCACAGAGAGGAAGTGTATAGAATGACTTGGCTGGCGCATGAGATGATCCACAGCGCTATTTGTGTAGAGACATGACTGCTCCAGTTCGAGACGGGTGCAACCGGAGAGGTGGCAGTGATTTCGTCCCACCTTGACTTGATCACGATGATCAATACAAGCGAGACGATCAATGCCACACTTGATAGTAGAATACTGATGGTTATGAGAGCCTTGCTTGCTTTCCCCGATCGCTCCAGTGCGCCGCGTACGTTCCCGACATTATAGAGGGTGTAGAAACCAATGCAGCAAAGGGAGACGAGATCGAGTGTGCCTGCCGTGGCAGCGATGCTGGCCAAGGAAGAGTGAGCAGATGACAAGGACGCTGCCTCGAATATGGATAAGACTGCGTCCACTGTTGTACTTGACCAGGCAACAACACCGACAAGCACAAGGTAGAGTTTTCGAGACTGTGACATGACTGATAAAAGAAGTAGGCCTTTGTCCGGAAGGACTTGCAAGTACTGTCGAGGTACGGGCAAGCGGCCTCGGAAGGCTTCGGAGGAATGGTCGACAAAGGGGTTGTAGGATCTTGCAGCAGGGTAGATATCAAGACGGCAGCAAGTAGGATGATAATATAGCACCAGCTTGCCCAGAAAAAGAAATGGTTGTCGATTGGCGGTCGTCCTCTTGGGGGAAGCGAGGAGGATGCGGCAATGTAAGTGGAACTGTTAGGATGAGATACAAAAAGCCCCCAGTCTTGTTGCTGTGGGGAGGCGCGAAACCGAGCAGGCGCGGAGGTAAACGCGTTCGAGGAAATGATGCGGCTGTATAGGTGCAGGTACTATAGCTGGGTGAACCGTTTATGGGCCGTAGCTGACACGGATCTATGCCGGATATGGCGAGTGTCCGTAGAGATGGGTGGTCGGGGTGGTGAGACTAAAGAGAGTGACGAAGGAGAAGAATGAGGGTATGGTTGGCGACTGGCTGAGAGCCACAGGGGCGAATGCAGGACAAGCTGACGGCGTAAAGAAGGTAGGGAAGGGTGTGGGGAGGGACAAGAAGTAATAATAAATTCAGAGCCGGTGCAGAAGGCGGATGTGGGTGGCCCATTGTTTCGTGGGCAGGCCTGTAACACGCGTAGGACGGACGGGGAAACCCCTACTAGCATGTTTAGGCGAAGACAGGCATATACCGAGCGAGCATTACACAGCACCACGACTCCAGGACGCATGATTACCGGAGCCTGAAGCACGTCCGCATCCGCGCAACTTTAACATTATCGACTGCAGGCAGTTGGCCTAGGAGCGGTGAAGGGAGCACGAGGATCATCTGAATCAGGCTGGCAACCCTTGGGCTGCACCTGAGGCGAAAAGGAAAACGGTTTGTCTTTTCGAAACACAAGGGGCAGCGACCAATGGGAAACCGAGACGGACAGGCAGCTGAAGGGTTGTAGGGCGGTGGAAACGGTGCCAGGGCCTAGCTGTCATAGTCTGTAGTGTGGAGCTGCGGTAAGTTTAGCCCTTCATTTCCTCACGCGTTGTTTTGGCCTTGTTTTCGGCAAAAGCACAACAAACAACCCTGAAGGGCAGGGCAGGGCTGGGCGGATGAGCCTTGTTGAATGACGAGCTGCCGCACCCAGCTTGCAAGTAAGTACATGAACTATGTCGCAGGCAGGGCGCGATGCGCGAGATGGGGGACAGGTATGTAGGACGGTCGATAGTGTGCCTTGCGCAGTGCAGCGTGCAGTGCAGCCATGACAGTACATGCCATTGGCGAAAGTCGCACTACGGGCGTGGCGAGTCCGTGAAACAACATTCTCGCCTCATGACGGTCTAAGGCGACTCATGGGCGATTGAAACACAAAAAAAGGGACGATGCGGCGGACGTGCAGTCGCTGAAAGGGCGATTTGATGTGTGATGACAACAGTCCGGCCAGGTTTTTTGGAGTGGTGTTGACGCGTGCCATGGTGGATGCGCGCCGGGGACAGCGGACGGATGCCAGCAGCGCTAGGCCGGGGTAGAGATGAGGACGCGGGCCATTCTGTCTGCTGTTGCGTCACTGCCGGGCGGGCAGGCCGTTCTGGCCGTTGGAGGGGTGGAAAGTAAGTACATGTGTATTACAAACACATGTACATGTAATGTCGTAAGTTGGTGGATACGTACATGCGCGTGGGTGGTGTGTGCTAGTATGAGTCGTAGGTTTGTACTAGTATGCGAGGTCCAGTGACTCGCCGTCACGTGAGCCACCTATCCGCCTCGTCGATCAACTGTGTTCGGAGTACGATGGCCTACGCGCCTCAGGAACGCCCCCTAGCGCTGCGCCACTCACCGCCGCGGCGAACTGTGGCGGTGCATCTATGTGTCTGTGTCTGTGTCTGTGTCTGTCTGTCAAAGAGGGTCCCCACTCAGCTGGTTGACGACAAGAGATTCTGCCTAACCAGCGCAGCACATTTCTATTAACTTCGCAAGCATACCATCGACCAGGCACAAACGCCTGTAGCTTGGATACATAGCCGACGTGCAGCCTGCTTCTCTCCTGCCTGCCTCTCTCTACCTTTGCCATCGCGCTCTGCCTGCCACCACGACTGCTTTCCACTGCGCCATCGCGCCAAGACCAGCTTCATCATCCCCACCTCACCTACAAGAGCACCCCGCCCATCCCCAGCGCCATCTTCAACCACCCACGCACCAACCGCCAAGATGAAGATCACATTCAAGGTACGCGTCTGCTCGAGCCAGCGGTGCCAGAGAGCCCTAGTTGACGCCCGTGCAGGACCTGAAGCAGAACAAGTTCGTCATTGAGGCCGAGCCTTCAGAAACGGTATGCAGCGCCCGCCACGCCTTGCACATGGCCCTGGCCCTGCCCCTGGCCCAGCTAACACATTCACCAGATTGGCGCACTCAAGTCCAAGATCCAAGCAGAAAAGGGCTGGGAAGTCCCTCAGCAAAAGCTCATCTACTCCGGTAAGCTTGCACAGCTTTCTACCATGCTCGTGGCCACCACGATCGCTGATACAAACAAACAGGCAAGATCCTCCAGGATGCCAACACGGTCGAGTCGTACAACATTGAGGAGAAGGGCTTCATTGTCTGCATGGTCTCCAAGCCAAAGGCCGCTCCTGCTGCATCTTCAAGTAAAGCTGCGCCTTCGACACCTGCTCCCGCACCAGCCCAAACACCCTCAGCTCCCCAAGCTCCTACTCAATCATCAACCACGCACAACGCCCCCGCTACACCTTCGCCCGCGCCCGCACAGGCATCGGGCGAGCGCTTCAATGACCCATCGGCGCTGACCATGGGTGGCGAACGTGAGGCCGCTATTGCCAACATGGAGAGCATGGGTTTCGCGAGGGCTGACATTGACCGGGCCATGCGCGCCGCCTTCTTCAACCCCGACCGCGCGGTTGAGTACCTGCTGACGGTAAGACGAGTGGCGCTCCAGCTTGGTTAAGTTTATTCTAACCTTCGTCTAGGGTATTCCCGAGAGCGCACTACAGGAGCAGGCGCAACAAACACAAGCCCGTGCACCCAACTCGCCCACGCCTGCTGGCGGAAATGCGGGTGCGACTGCGCAAGCTAACCCTTCGTCTGGAGGCGATGAACCCATGAATTTGTTCGAGGCTGCCGCCGCTGCCCAAAACCGGGGTGGTGCTGGCGGTGCTCGCTCTGGTGGTACTGGAGGTGCTGGCGCTGGCGCTCTCAACGCCAACTCTCTCGACTTCTTGCGCAACAACCCCCAGTTCCAGCAGCTACGACAGGTGGTGCAACAGCAGCCCCAAATGCTTGAGCCCATCCTGCAACAAGTAGGCGCAGGCAACCCACAGTTGGCTCAGATGATCGCATCCAACCCGGAGCAGTTCCTGCAATTGCTCGCAGAGGACGCGGATGAGGATGCGCCATTGCCACCAGGCGCCCAGGCCATATCCGTCACGGAAGAGGAGCGCGAGGCTATTGAGCGCCTGTGTCGCCTCGGGTTTGAGCGTGATCTGGTTATCCAGGCATACTTTGCGTGCGACAAGAACGAGGAGCTGGCCGCCAACTTTCTCTTCGACCAGCCTGATGACGCTGACGACCAGTAGTCGCTTTTGGCTCTCTGTGCCATGACTGTGCGACATCACCATACCCAACACGTCCGTTTCTCCGTCTGATATCACGGTTACAGTGGCACACCCAAAACTCCTCTCCTTAAAATGGACAAAAATCCATGTCGAGTCGATTGGCGTCGGGCGGTCCAATGCAGTGCTTTGGTCGCGGGTTGCGGCTTTCGATAGTTCCATTGCTTTTCTATGATATATAATACCTTCCGAATGGGGTACGAGGAAAGAGCTGGGGCCTGCTGGATTTGTGGCATGTAGTAGATGGACCAGCAGACGCTTGCTAGGCGGGAGAAATAGCTTATCAATAGAAAAAAACTATTCCATTGTTCATTTTCAGAATCAGAGTGAGGTGATCATATTTGTAGAGTTTTGAACTGCTTCAAGCGAAGTGTTGACGTAGTAGAAACCTTTTATTCTTCGTATTGGAAGTCACTAAATGAATACTCTGTGTTGGTATCTAGTGAGAACCCACCCAACATACAACATCAATGAAATGCATTGAGGAAGGAAAGGAAAGAAACAGGAAGTCTAAAGCTCAACAGGAGCAAGCTTCCTCTTACGACTCCTCTTCTTCTTTTTCTTCTCTCCTTCCACAATATTGCTCTCACTCTTTTCTTTGTTCTTCTTCTCCTTGACCGGAACATCATCATTCGGTGCCGCAGTCTCCTCACCAACAAGCGCCTCAAACCCGCCCTTTGGCCCCTCGGCATCGCCAAATGTATCCTTGCGCCACTGCCTGATTCGTGCCTTCTTGCTCAAGAACTTCTTGTCCTTCTTCTTCTTGACTGGGTCACGGAAGGTGGCTAGTTTCTTGAGACCCGCAAACTCGTTGAGGGCCTTGTCATCGGCGAGGAGGATGTCGCGGGCTGTAAGGCCAAATGATGTGGGTGATGTTTCGCGGTAGCGGAAGCGGGAGGCTGCCTTGGAGGGTTTGACGGCGAGGGCGGCTTCGTATTCGAGGCTTTGGTTGACGAGGTTCTCGATTAGGCGACGGTCGCGGCGAGCTGTTGATTTTGCTTCTGCGCGCTCTTGTTTGAGCTTCTTGGAGGATTTCTTGGTGGAGGTGCCGGTTGTTGGATCTTCTACGTCGTCATCATCGTCGTCTTGTTCTTCGTCGGCGTCAGCGTCGGCCATTTCATCGTCGGAGGATAGGTTCGGTTGCTCTTCTTCCTCGTCGTCTTTGAAGTCGGGGACCAGGTCCTTGATGTCGATGTCGTCGTCAAACTTGGGCTTCTTTGGCTTCTTGCTCTTCTTGCCCTCTTCTTCTTCTCCATAGTAGGCATCTCCAAAGCGCTTCTGCATCTCGGCATCCCACTGCTCATCCGACCAGTCTGCCTCTAGCACGTCTTTCCACTCATCAATATTGAAATCTCTGCCGCTCAGTCCTCCTATCTTGCGAATCTGCTTGACCTTGTTCTCCATCTCTTCAACCTTGAGCTTGCGCAGTCGTGCAAGCTCCTGCTCCTTCTCTCTCTTCTCAGCTTCACGCTTAGCCCGCGCAGCCTCACGAGCCTTTCTTCGGCCACTCTTTTCGTCTCGACGCACTGTAGTGCTTGCGACAGCGTCACGAGCATATGTCATAATCTTCTCGTTCGCGCCGGTAGTGTCTTCAAAGTATAGGTTGTACGAGTTCTCCCATTCGTCGGCAGCGGCATCCTCATCTTCGTCATCCGACTCGAGCGGTTGGAAACGGGCAGACTTGGTGGGCACCCAGGCGCGGGAAGCCATGAAATTAGACAGGAAGGTTTCTGGATCTTGGTCGGCCTTCTCAACATCCTCTGCTGTAATCTTGGGTCGGTCGTCCTTGGGCTTCTCGGGCTTCTCCTTAGCAACGATAAAGTCGTCGTCGTCTTCACCATCACCAGCAGCATCCAGAGCCTTGACGAGGTCCTGACGGGCCTCTTCCTGCTCTTGCGCATATGTCTTTGGCGGCGCATCCTCCTCTTCATCGACAGTGAGTTTGCCCTCAAGGAGATTCTTGGTGTGATAGTCTCTGAGTGTCATGGGCTTTTCTTTTTTCTTGTCTTCTGCGCCATCGTCGCCCTCTTCGGGATCGCGGTAGAACTTGACTTCTTTATTGTAAATGCGGGGGTCTTTTGCGCGCAGAGCCTGGAGAGTGGCATTGACTTGTTCATCGAGGTCTTCGTCGAGCAGATCAGCTGCATCGTCTTCTTCTACGCCCTCCTCAGAGTCTTCCGACTCGTCATCGTCGCCGTTGGCGAAGGCCTTGTCTTTGCCGTACTTTTCCTCAACTGTATCCAATTAGCGGTAGACTGACAATGGATAGGGCATCAGCATACGCCTGAACTGCTCAGCACGCTTCTTGTTGTGCTCGAATCGGCGCGCATAGTCCTCGTTGATCTTGAGCGATGCCTGACCGTCGTCGCTGTCGGAGCCCTCGTTGTCGGTATTGTCGAGCAGCTTCGCCTTTTTAGCTGGCGGCTCAATGGCGCTGTTGAGCTCGCGCTTGGCACGGCCGGTGCTGGTCTTGTCCTTTGTGGCCGCCATGTGGTGTGGCTCGAAGTTGATGTCGGTGTTGGTGGAGTGGCTTGCTTGGTCACAAAATTTTGGTGGAGCAGGTGCTAGCGCGTGAACCCTGACGTTGGCCGCGGCAGTGACGACCCACGGCCGCATCCCAAGGGAACCCAGGGTCGGGCCCATGCATGATCAGGACGGGACGACAAGCAGCACCACGCGACACTATTCCCCCCTCATGACTTTTGGCCATGTATTACAGCCTCCATGTTTACTTCTGCCCTGGCCTTTTGTAGATACCTGTCTTCGTAATTTTCTTTTTTATAAGCGGAAGCGCCCGCACCCATGGCTGAGGAGGAGCCACCGCAGCTCAGCGTAGAGCCAGTATCAAGGCCACTGGACTTGATGTATGTTGCGAGAGGCTCCATGGACCCCCTATTATACTTACAGCATACAGACCAGTAGTAATTAAAGAGGCCGCTCTCGACTCACCCACCTTCCGCGCAACCGCTGTGCACTACGGCGACCAGATCGAACTTATAGAAAGATGGCTCGACTCCTTTGTCCGCGCCACCTCGAGGCTTGCAACCGAATGCAGCAACATGCAAGCACTTGTAGATACATATGTTCAAACTTCACACCCACCGTTGCAGCTCTCTGAAGCCGTCGTCGACCATGACTACACAGTCCTGGCCCTCAAGCGCTTTGGCGAGGGGGCGCGCGAATATTGGAACAGCGCGCTGCGTTGCATGAAGCGCGCCGAGACAACCATGTGCGAGCCATTGCGAGCCTTCATCTCCAATGACTTGCGCGTGTTGAAGGAAGCCCGCAAGAATCTAGACTCCACCCAGCGCATTTTCGATCTAGCCATCGCACGGTATGCAGGGCAGATCAAGTCAAAGGAGGCTTCGTCACTGAGAGAGGATGCTTTCCAGTTGCACGAAGCTCGGCGGGCATATCTCCAGGCCAGCATGAACTTCTGTGTCCTGGCGCCTCAGGTGCGCTTGACTCTGGACAAGCTACTCGTCAAGATTGTTCATGAGCAGTGGCGTGAGATGAAATCCGGAACCGAATCCTCTGCAAAGGGCTTCACCAATTGGACGTCGGATGTTGAGCGCGTGCGCGGCTGGAGCAAGGAAATGGAAAACGGCGAGCGTGTCTTCAAGAGAGAACTGCATCTTGCGCGACAGCAGATCGAGGCCGCTGCTGAAGTAAACTCACGACCATCGCGAGATCTTGATTCGTACGCTGCTTCGACTGTTCCCTACCTTGGCACAGCAACCTCGACTGCCAATTTACAATCGCCAGCTAAACCAGACCCCGGAAGCGAAAAGGCAGAGAAGCAGGGCTGGCTGTTCCAGCGCACAATCACGGGCAAACCTGCCAGGACTTATTGGGTCAGGCGGTGGTTTTTTGTCAAGAATGGCATCTTTGGTTGGCTAACACAAGGAACACGATCCGGTGCCGTCGAAGAATCCGAAAAGATTGGCGTGTTGCTCTGCGGTATTCGACCTGCATTTGCAGAGGAGCGACGCTTTTGTTTTGAAGTAAAGACAAAGGACACCACTATTCTCCTCCAAGCTGAGACGCAAAACGACATAACCGAATGGATTTCTGCGTTTGAAGTTGCCAAGCGCAAGGCGCTAGAGGATACATCCAAAGACTTGTCTGGTGCTGGTTCCATCGACGCCGCATTCTCTATCAGCCCGCCTGTAGCCCCTGAATTTGCTGCAAAGACTTCTGAAGGCAATGTGGGCCTTCCTGGTGACGACACCGCCAATACGGATCGCCCTGACACTCTTGGTCCTCCAGGTACCGATAGCCTTGCGGTACGTGGAAGTTTTGATGTGACTAGGCGTGCTACTGGACTCGAAGGTGATGGCAGTCGTCGCGATCACACTGCCCGGATTATGGAGAAGCTTGACCTTACTCGAAAATCAACAGTCGGCCCCCAGCTTAGCGGAAACAATCCCTCTTCTGCAAGTGGCGGCATTGCCAGCCTCATATCTGCCAGTCTTGCTTCAGCTAGTCATAACCTTGTACAAGCTGGACAAATCACAGCACCTGCAGTCGGACTTCCCGATACTCGGCTCGTCATGGGCCAGACGCTCCCTCACACGACACTTGCTCCTTCTACGCTTGCCGGTCCACCAGCACCAACAAATCTAAGTAAAGCTGCAGTTGCTGTGAGCGGCGAGCGCGGTCTTGGTACTGGTCGTTCGGGCAACATGCCTGGTGGACTAATGGCCAACCTATGGGGCTCAGTCAATTGGGGGTATGTCAATATTCTAGGCGAAGAGGAATCCAGCACCCGCGTCGGACCTCCAAGTTCACCAGATCCTTCGTCTGGCTTCATGTCTGATGACAAGAAAGCCGGAGTAGGAGGCGCATCAGCAGGTCCGGTCAGTGTAGTACATCGCAAATCAGCTAGTATGGGTAGTCTTATGCCCGCTGCCCCCAACCGGGACGTGGTGGATGAGGATGAATTCCCAAGCTCTTATCCTCTC